TTTCCCCAGAGTTTCCTTACTCCATCGAGTTTCAGACTATTTGTCCTAAAAAAATAAAAATACATGGCAGAGGTCAGAGGTAGATTCCAAGTTCAACTGTACTCTATTTACTTCCATATAATGAAGCACCAAAGAGAGACATGATATTAATAAGAACATAAGCTTAAATGTACTTCTTCATTTCAAAGACAAATCAACTTACTCTCTATGTCCTGTCTCAGCACTATTACCAGATGTATCAGAACCAAAAGATAAACCAGTGGGAGACTGTCTGCCAGTGAAGCCAGATGAAGACATGCTCGAAGCAAACGACAATCCGTAAGGTTCAAAATTCAGAGCTGTAAGACAGACCGAATCTTTTAAAAATCACAATGAAACATAAGCAGTAAGAAAAAAGAAAAATTGAAAAGAGATACGCTGTACTGCTCTACCTCTCGGGCGTCAGAAAACAATAATGATAATATAAATAACAACATCATTAATCACTTCTCTAGCTGCAACATACTAAGAACTAGGATGTCTTTCTGCAGATATCTTCAATATGTGCTTTTGTTAGTTGTTAGAAACATTAAACTTACTGGACATAAGTCATCACTCCCAGCTGCAAAATATACTAATTAGTCCTAGTGTTACTGCATGAAAGTAGAAGTTAAACTCTCTGTACTCAAAAATATCTTTGAAGCATTATGTATATAATATGCACACGTATATATAACATTACTTCAAGAAGTTTTATTAAATGTACACTTATGCTGCTTGTTTCTACGCATCAGATAGTTACCAGATATTGGCTGAATGCATTTAAATAAATCACCTTTTTCCTGTGAAAGCTTCTCCTCCTGTCTCTGGTGATGAGGTTTATACGGTGCTGCACCACGGCCAAGGCCCTCAGCCACAAATCCATCTAGAAAAGATAAGGAAGCATCCACCTACACAGAATTAAAGAAAAAGAACACAAAATTAAGAAAAGAGCCACCAACGAAAATTAAAAAAATCATTCTGTATGAACATTTCAGTGCCAAGATCAGTGTTTTTGAATAGGAAGCAAAACCCTAGGACAAAAAAATAAATCTGTATCATAATCAATAAATAGGACCTAACTTATTAAAAAAAAAAAAAAGAAAAAAGAAAATATACTCTTTAAAAACTGACTTCAGATTACTAACTAAATACCATGGCCCTTTACTTTTTGGTAATGAACATTAAAATTCAACCTAGATGTCTGAAAAAGTATGTTTCCCAAAACTCTTTTTTAATGAGACTGAGAGACTAGTGCATGCAGTCTTCACTGCCAGATATAATTCACTTTCGCAGTGTTTCCTGCAATATTCAATCCCTGACCCAAAGTTAATGAGGAAGACTATGCAGCTATCTTACCACTATGTCATTGCAACTAGCATCAAAAGGAAGCAAGTTTTTCATCAACACTTTGTCTTCACACAGATGCTTTAATTCAAAGGCATATTGCCTCATACAGGTATCTAGAGAGGTGCTGAATTCTTGGATTATTTTGTGCACTGTATTAGAACAGGAGGTGCGTGATGTTATTTTGGTGACTGCAGCCATTATCCAAGCTTTTGTTTCAGGAGTAACAACCGTCTTCTTCAGCAGCCTGTGGAGCCGTGTCAAAATAATCTCTGGATCAACATCTGTGGCAAGGCAGGAGTATTCCCCCAAAACCTAGGCACAAAGGACAGACAAAATACACATTTAGTCACACACACACAGCAGTGCTTTCAGTTTTGAAATTAAGGTAATATAGTAACACAGCAAAAATCTACCTCACATTCAAGAAACATCACAGACACTGATATAATTACTCAGAAAGCCTTAGAAACTGCCTTTCTATCTGCATAAAATGAAAGCAAGAGATACGATGTAAAGGGAAATACCTCTAGTGGCTTTGGACTAAAGCGTTATCACTTTAAAGCTGTCTGCAACCCAACCCATAACTAAGAACAGCAGTCAGCATAGTTGTCTTCCAAACTGCTGCTGGTTTAATTGCTGGTATATTAAGGACAAAATTGCTTTCAGTAATGCAAAAGATACAATCTCAGCTGAGCATCCAATTGCTTACCAAGGACTCCCCATTTTATTATGGGAAGTCAGGTCTGTCAAGCTTACACAACTGATTAAACCGTCTCCAACTCGCTTAAGCAGGACTTATCTCAGACACACACACTCACATTGTTTTGTTTAGTGCTCTGCTTTAAATGACTTTTGTGTTTACTTCAGCAGACTCCATCTTCTCATTTCTTAAAATCAAATAGCTGTCTTGAAAAGGAAGATAAATATAATAATAACTTCCTTACAAAAAAAAAAATGACTTGTCCATAATGCATCCCCTTCAGCTTGGGTGGAACCAGAAGCTTACCCAGATGCCAGAGAACGTGAGCACTGCAACTGGGCTGTTAGCTACTAGGCTAAACGCATTTCACAACTGCATCTGGCCTAACTGATAATGCTGGGAAGGCTCCCAGCACACAGTTAGAAGTCACAGCCAAACCATTCTAAAAGTCACCAGCCTTGAAAGGGAGATCTCCTTTTCCACTATCTAGCACAACCTAAGTAGTCTTCAGGCAACAAAAGAGGTTGCTAAATAAATGGACTTCAGGATTGTATTGCAACATCAAATAAAAATATTCATGACTAAAATTTTAATCTTAAAAACAAATATTTATAATTCGAAACATCAAACCCTTTCATAATTCTCTCCCATCCACGTGTTCGATTTTGACCATGTGCCCACCTTACCCAACTCATAACTTGCAGAAATTTCTGTGGATAGAATGCTTCTTCCTCTTCTAATAATGCTAAATAAGACTGCACGGCATACAGCCGTAACTGTTCATCTTCTTTGCCATCATCAAATCCTAAAGGGAAAATAACACATACTTTGTCTGTAAAAGATGCCTCCTGCACCAGATGTTTCAAAAGGCATTTTATAAAACAAAGCCAGCTGATTAACTAACATCTGGCTAACACTTCACAGCAATCAGTGAGTTACCTTCAGCCAGGAGCCTCAAGAAGTTGTTGGGGATATCAGGATACACAACATCTCCTCCAACTGAGAACACGGCGTTCATTGTTTGGATGAACCACTCGTTGCCAGGGGCATACGTGTCCAGATGTTAAGGAATTAAGTGCTAAGGCATAACTTTTTAAATCATTTTAGTGTGCTTCCTAAAGAAAAAAAAGCTTTATACAAGTTATTGGTCCTGCTCATAATCCAGCCGATCAATATTTCAGAAAATGCGAATAAATAAGAAAATTCTGTGTCTTGCCCAGCCAGTATCTAAGAGTACAGAAAAGGACAGAAGGAAAAAGAGACAAAAGAATTCATTACCTTTTTTCTTTCTGGCATGCTTAAATGACTCTTTCCTTATTTCTATGAAAATGTATTATTCTTAAAAACTATAGTTTATACATGCCAACAAAAAAGTCTCTAGTGGGAAGAACACTGTCACCATTACAGAATAAAACGCTGACGCATCTCTCTACTTTCATGCAGAGATATAAGGCTTTAAAGTTTTAATTTAAAAAATGGCTTTTAATGCCAAACTCCAAACCCAAGATAAAATATTTGAGAATACCTTTCACGTGTGAAATATAAAAATCACTGAATGTTTTATATGCATTTTCTTTTACTCATCTTTTGCATTTAAAACAGAGTAAAAGGCTCAGCTGTAACAGTTCCTATTACAGAAGATCATGAAAAAAGCTTTGATTTTTGGCTGAGCTCTGACTCCAAGTCTTCAGAAAAATAAAAGGATATTTCTCAGCTAGTTCTGCTACTTTGCCAGTTAAGCTGATGATGGTATATTCTTCTTTGCTTTGTTTTAAGTAATCGAGCATCTTCTGAACTATGACAACTACATTCTGTCCATTTGTTATTCTATAGAGAAGCTCTAAAGTCTGAAAGAGAAAGCAAAAAAAAAGCTCAAACACTCAACTGGCTCTGATGAGTCAACATAGGAATTAAACAAAGAGACACTTTAGACTGATGTAAAATTGAGCAAATGTTTTTATTTGTAAAGCCTTAAATGTAATACAATGCCTATCTACACCGTTTGCCACAGTAATACTGTTCATAACTGCTGTCTCAAAGTAACTGAGACATAATATGTCTTTAGCACCATTCTTAAAAAAAACACACACATTGCCAATCTTGAAAATTAAATCCATTTATGGTGTTCAGAAATTAACTGACCTCCCTTTTAATAATGGGATCAGGATGGTCCAGGCACTCAATTATTGTCATCTGGTGTTGAAGTGCCAGATTAGGATCCTGCTGGACAACATAGGTCAGTGCCTTTAAACCTAGAAAATTAGCATTTGGAAATGATAAAGGACTATATATCAGCACAATCTGGTATAAAATTTCTTAATGAAGCCAGGTATCCTTACCTAAATATTTCAGATTAATTTTGGATGACAAAACAAATTTTCCAATGCACTTGGCAGCCTTTTCAAGTAGTTCAGACTTGGGGTGAATTGTATATATTGTTTGGACACATTCAAATAAGATGGCTGGGGCAAAAACAAATAATTAATGTGTATTAGATAGTTCTATAATTCAAACATTTTTAACAAACAAGCGTACATCTTAGGAACACAACTACAAGGCCAAATGTGGTCTATTTAGTATATTAGAGCAGACTACTATCTTACACCCAAGATATACCTCTGAAGTCATCAGACCTCCATTTCATTTTTAAAGTATATTTTCTGTTCCTACCCAAATACATTTCCTTTCTGCAAATAAAGTATTCTCACTGCACACAACCAAACAAAACTGCAAATGTCTTAAAGACAGTAACAATATAATACTGGGGTACTGAGCAAGTGGAAATGTACAGTCACCATTCTAGTACAGCTGTATTTACATATTTCTAAAAGCAGAGATACTCCTTCTCGCTCATTAACAAAAAAATAAAAATAAAAAGAAGAAATTATGATTACTTTCTTTTAGGATGCAGCACAGAAATACGGCCAAAAATATGTATTGAAGTTCTATGCAGGCCATTTGGCATAGGGAGTCAAAAAGAGAAAAAGATAAACTACAAAACAGCATGGGGAACAGTTCTGTTGTATGTTGACTTAAAATTTCTTACATAAAAACAAGCATTCCTCTGCTAATCTACAACAGATTATGAAGCCTACAAAGGGATTCAACCTCATAGAATGAAAAGTGAAAACAAAGCTCTTCCAGCATCTTAGTGTATAAACATATTTTAATAATCTCAATGATTACATTTCTACCACCCTGCATTCTGATAGCTTCCCAAAATATAGAGCTCTCACTGCAGGAGGATGTCCTAAGGTTACTAAATCTAGTTGCAGAACACCTACTCATGTGAAAACAAGCGGAAAACCTATCACCTTTTAGCATAAATATTTTAATGTTCTGGCTAACTGCATACAAATTTCTGTTTTGAAAGCTCTGTGAGACTGAACTGTGACTCTTTAGAAAGCCAAGAGGCAACTAACATTTTCAGTAAGTCCTGATTTTTATGGTCATCCACAACGGTTTTAAGAATAGAAAAACTGCCCCTCCTTAAAAACAAGCAAACAAATAAACAAAAACACTGCCTGTATGTTGGAGAAAGCTAGAAAAAGAAACTGCATTATACTCAACACAGAAATTAATTCTTTATCGTAGCAATTCAGGCAAACACTTAAACAAAGTTGCTCTAATCCATTCAACACACATTTAGATTTCCTTTTCAATTTTTAACTTAAATCCCTTAACTAATTGCCATAGAGTCAGGTAGGCAACAATTCGCCATAGAGTCAGGTAGGCAACAATTCATGTCTTTCCAAGCATTACAAAACCACATCTGAGAAAGATTTGCACATGAACAACACAATTGCCTGCAACAAGGCAAAAACATTCAATGAGCACTGACCTTGTATTAGAAAGCGTAACTGCTCATAATCACAGTTCTCTCTGGTGTGGGATCGTGGCAACTTTTTATAAACAGTTTATTGTATTGAAAAAACACCACCTACTCACATCTCTGTGTAAATCCTAATAGACTCTCCCCTTTGGCCTCTAAATTCTTAGCACACAAGGTTTTGTTTATTTGGTTGGTTTTTAATTTTAACAAAATATTCTATGTACCTAAATACATAGAAGGAACAAACTGAATACCTTTAATGTCTAATGAATGTTTCTTCATGTATTATTTTCCAAAAAAATATTTTTTCCCTACATTACAGTGGTAGGGAAGTTTACACAATGCTTCAGAAAATACGTATCAAGCAGACATCTCAATTTTCTCTCTGTTCCATTAGTATAGGTACCTTGACAACATTTATAGGGCTTTACTATAAATGCACAAACTGCTGATTTTTTTTTACAGTGAATTATCTCTCTTGGGTACTTGAGAAAACATTAACAGGTGAGGAGGGGAAGGTAAAGAAAAATCCAGAGAAATTACTCAGAGTTTTATTAGAAAAACTTTATAATACTGTTATTTTTCTTGATTTTGTTTTAGCAACAAATACAGCTTTCCCTGCAGAAAAGGTAATAAAATAAACATAGCCAGCAACCATGTTCTGGAAATTTAAATTTAGACAAGTGCCAAAAATATCTTTTCACAGGCACCACAACACTGAAGTCTGGAAATGTTATTTTTATTAACTGTGGCTACTAGGAGAATATCTATCGGTAAGGGGCCGATGTCATCACTATTGCACGATTTTATTGTCTGTCTTGAGGCAATGAAAAGACCAATGGCCGAAGAGCTGAGGCTTTCTAACAGGGTGGTAGCGCTAAAATTTTTCTACTATAATTTATTTCAACTTAAGCAATGCTCAATAAGGGCTTTCCAGGAGAAGTCAACTTCCTGTGTTCAAGGACAAGGACAATGCAAACATAAGAAAGAGGCTGTTCAGTCAGGACGATCTGATGCCCAGTAAACATTGTCTTTCACTGATAGAACAGACACCTATCAGCAAACCCTTAAAAATACATAGAGAACATAATTAGCCTTTTCAGATGTACTGTGTATGTTTTAGTATGACCAACTACTGACATTTTCACTCTTTGCAACTACTGATAATTGCACACAATACTCTCACCCACCATATGTAATATTATGATTTATCTCTGCTCTTCTTAAAGATTCATCCAGAACATCATACATCAATTCACTTGTCCTGTTTAAAATGCAAAAGAATATTTAGAAAATTCTCATTTGCAGCACTAATATATTTCCATAAGGCTTTACTTTAAAAAAAGAAGTTACCAATACAATGTGCAAAATGAATTATTCATATCCACAGATTCACTTTAATCTGTCTTTAAACAACATCTAATGATGTTTTCAGCTTTCAAAT